TTGAGGTTAGAAAACTGCAGACATTTCTTGTACTTTCTAACTAAATTATCTGGACACTCATTACACATATCTATAAAAACTAAATTATCTGGACACTCATTACACATATCTATAAAAAAAACATACAAGAAAGACTATAGACTTTGCTTATTCTTTATTTTATCCTTCTGTTGGATTCAAGTCCATATTTGATCTACATTTGACCTCAAACTCACAATATTACTCAGTATTGCTGTCTCTCTTTCTCAAATACCACAATACAACCACAGGTAATAAATAATAATAATAATAAATAATAATAATAATAAATAATAATAATAAATAATAAATAATAATAAATAATAATAAATAATAAATAATAATAATAAATAATAATAATAAATATTAATAATAATAATAATAATAAATAATAATAAATAATAAATAATAATAATAAATAATAATAATAAATAATAATAATAATAAATAATAATAATAAATAATAATAATAAATAATAATAAATAATAATAATAATAAATAATAATAATAATAAATAATAATAAATAATAAATAATAATAATAAATAATAATAAATAATAATAATAAATAATAATAATAAATAATAATAAATAATAAATAATAATAAATAATAAATAATAATAATAAATAATAATAATAAATAATAATAATAATAAATAATAATAATAATAAATAATACTCGTTTTGTTGTTTACATGTCTTACAGTTTCTCATTTTTACAAGTATTTTTGTATATGTAAATGTTAGGGTGTTCATAATTATTTACCCAGAGTTATAACTCCCTTACAAGTAGCATGGCAGGTCTTAGTTGTCTGAAGTGGTGAAACTAAAGAAAAGAGGGAATTATCCAAATGAACTTTCATAGAAAGAGACATTAATTCATTTTTCATTCTTATACATCAATTCTTGGGCTGTGCATCTTATAATCTGTAAATAGTTTTAATTAGTTTCTATACATTTTAGTTAAAAAATTCAGTTGGTGGTCAGAGGCAAATTTCTTGATCAGTTTTGTCACACTGCAAATATGTAGTTTTTACACCAACAATGTGAGGCATCCACTGGCTAGGAGAAACCAAGAAAGGGCTGTAGCAGGCGGTCCAGTGGCCCCGTTTCACAGAAAGGGGTGAACGAGGTCACAAGAGGCCCGCTGACATTTTTGACGGGATTAAATCTGACGGTGAAACAATATGGACGACAGAACGAGGATATGTAAGATATATAGAGGTTTATTCTAAAAGGAAAAGGAAATGAAGATGGTCGGAAACGGTGGAGGTGCTGGAAGCTGCAGGAGTGAGCTGGAAGCTGCAGGAGTGAGCCGGAAACTGCAGGAGTTCTGGACGCTGCAGGAGCGAGCTGGAAGCTGCAGGAGTGCTGGAGTGAGCTGGATGCTGCAGGCATTGATGGTCGAGGTTGGCGTTGGTAGTTGCTAGGATCATCGTTGTTGGGGGTTGAAGCTGATGTGGGTGGTTGCCAGGATGATCGCTTGGTGGTTGTTGAAGTTGATGTTGGTTGATGCCACGATGATCGTTGTTGGTTGTTGAAGCCGAGTCGTTGCCGGGGTGCCAACTTGATGTGTTTGTTGTTGCCGGGGTGCCAACTTGTTGCTGCAGTTCGTGTTGCCAACTCGTTGTTTATCATTGCCGGGATGCCAACTTGACGTGTTGGGAAGGAGAGAGAGAGAAAGAAAGTTCCCAACTATCGTCAAGTTGGCAGACAAAAAAAAGTGGGAGCCAGTAGAGGAACAGGTCATTTCGACCTTGACCTCTCATTCATGCTCCTTACACACTGTTAACACGTCAGAGGGACTAGCAAATCCCCTTTTTAGTTAGGCTATATTACAAACCTAGTTGTAATATACATCTAGTCATTTTTAGACCTTAGTTCTCTTTAGCTAACCTCGTAGCATTTTATTATAGAGACTTTTCGGTTAGCTTAGCCAATTTCTCTTGCTGGTCCCCCTCGACACAAGACAGTGATTTCTCCCTAGATTCTCGGGAGGCGGTCGGCGGCCGAAACGGTCGGCTACGCAGGCCCCTTGGCCAAGGACGCCGATCTACGGGCTGTGTATTAAGTAACTTAATACACAGCCCGTAGATCTGTTCCTCTACCGGTTCAAGGATGGAAGGAGGAGGTAACTCCGACAGGGCTTTGTGAACTGCTTCTATGGAATAAATTGCAGATATTAATTGTATCTTACCCATAGCCCCTCATTACAAGTTTAACTCTTGTTATAACTTCACTGTCTTTTACTTTTTCAACCACAACTGATCCTACAGATATTGAATTCTCGCTTTGATTCTTTACTTCATCAATCCAGTTTTTAAATTAATTTCCCTTTGTAGCCATGACTTCATCTGAGTATTGACATTTCCTATACATTTGGTATTATTTCCAATGTAGTAAATTTCTTGAAATCAATAGGAACCAGTACTATCATTAGAATCATATTTAATGTAATAATATTTATATTTTTCAGTGGCTTTTCCAGCTTAACATATTATCTTGCCCAGAATATATATGCATTAGTATCACAATGTATTCTTTGAAATGATTATCCAGTCATTGCTTTATTTTCCTCTGACATTTCTTGATTGCCTTTCACTTTGTCAACTTGGTCTACATTTTCCTTATCATATTTCCTCATTATATGATAGTTTTCAGAATTAATTTGCTCTTAATTACAATCTGAAGCACACTTGAGTCAGATTTGAAATAGGAATTATGATTAAAATCAAGATGAAGCAACAAGTATGGCAAATAAAAATTAGTTTTTCACTGCATTCAATTACAGCAAAAGGTCCATGCCATTGTAGGTGCACAAAAATATCATCATCAGCAGCTCACACTTTTCCACCAAAATGCTGTCATGTGACTTTGCCAAAAAAGGCAGTTAGTTGGAGATATGATAACATTCAAGCAACATGTGTACAAGACCTAAGGAGTCATTCAAGCAGTCAGTCAAGTGCCATATGTGATACATGCTTGGGTGATCATGTCTTTCTCAATTCATGACTGACTAGGCTGAATATTTTCTAGCAGTAGGTTGCCATTTCTTTCTTTGATAGACTGGTTGCCAGTCAAGGCTATAGGACCCAGTCTGTCTTGCTATTTAACCCATAGACAGGAGACGAGATGTATTTCTACCTTCAAGATGAGCATCAGTCAGTCAAGTGCCATATGTGATACATGTTTGGGTGATCATGTCTCTCTCAATTCATGACTGACTAGTCTGAATATTTGCCATTTCTTTCTGTGATAGACTGGTTGCCAGTCAAGGCTATAGGGCCCAGTCTGTCCTGATAGTCAACCCATAGCAAGGGGGAGAAAAGATGGATTCATACCTTTCCCAAGGGTATTTGTGCATAAGTGAATGCAATGAATTCAACTGGAATTAGAACTCAGCTCTCTGATTTCACATTCTGAGTCATTATCCATTACACCATAAAGCACAGCTCTAAATTATAATATATAGTTAGATATAATTTTAGCTTTAGAGTAATGAGGAAGGAATTAATAAAGCAGCATTATAATGGTAAGTACTTGTTTTGCTTTGTATATATTGTTTACTCCTAATGTTTTGTTGATTATATTAAATAAATGTTTCTCTGCAGAGACCTGTGTTTCATATTTCACTCATACCCAATTCTCTGTGTTTTCTTGTTGGAGAAACTCACTAGTGTGTGTGTCAAACTTAACCTGACAGTATCATTTCTTTTATAGTACACCATATTGCCAAGTTTCAGCAGGTGTACTTCAAATATTACTTTTTGATTCATACTTTATTTTCTCACTGGATTCACAATGAAGAGATTCTTAAAGTTGAATTATTCATGCTCAAAGTTTCTTATAAAGTCAAAAATGTTTTTATTTTCTGATCATCATAAATTGTACAAATAATCAAATGTGGTGAACTTCCTCTTGCATTAAATGTGGTAAAAACAAACCATTAATGAGTGCACTATGCAAGAAAGGTTTATTCTCACATGAGTGTGCCAGATTTGTCTGCTATATTGTTAGCAAAGACATATTCTGCAAACTGGAAATGGTGGTTCCTGAGTTTTCCCAATAGGAGAGCTGCAAGCCAGAGATATTTTCTATAATTGCTGAAGATATATTTCCATAAGAAAATGTCATCATAGACTTGCAAGTTGCATAACATGCTGGAGGAGGAAGATTTAGCCACTGCTCAGTTTAACTCCTGGAAGCTGACTAACTGACTACTTTCGTCACACTATGAAGTGATGTCACTAAGCAGCTGTCATGTGATTTTTCTCAACTAAAGGGAGATAATCACCTTTTGCATCCCAACACCATAATTTATTTTTTTCCAGTAATATATCATCACCAGTTGCCTTTTGCAAATCATCTATACTTATTCCTGATGGTATGTTTCTAGCTCTCACAGACAGATAAACTTATGGCCAACATATACTTGTTTTTGGAAAATTCATTTAGTTCATCTTATATGAAAACATCCCATTTTTAACTCTCATAATATAACTCACCCCCCCAGTTTTGGTGGGCAGTTTGATGAAAATGCAGAAGAACACTAGCTAGCAGTGTTAAAGATTAAGAGAACAAATCACACTTTTCTGGAAGAACATTATCAAGGAATGGATTTCTAGTTCCTAGGGGGTTTAGGTATTCCAAGCAACTGCAAAAAGACTGACTGAGACAGAAAAATCCAGTCCTATTATACTATTCTAGAAGAAAAGTCCATCTACTGGAAAGTGAGTCATATGGTTCCATAATACAATTTTAATACAATGGTGAATATTAATTATATAGATCAAACATTATACAGTGACATTTTCAGATCAAACATTATACAGTGACATTTTCAGATCAAAATTCAGCTGATAACTGTGTAAGACTTATTGATCTACCTTCATAGTTATGAATCGAAATTCTTTATCTCTTGACCTAAGCTTTAACAATGGAGCTAAATCTGTTAGTTCTTTATTCATTTATTTTATTTCAGGTTGGAAATTGAAGAGGATAAAAAGGAAGCAATGAATGCCAAGTAGAAGATAAATTTATGGTGAAATCACAAAAGGGCCTTGAAGGGTCAGTGCAATTCCTCGGCATTCAGCACCCAACTATCATGATGGTATGCATTGGTTGTTAATATAACTATGTACCCTTTAATTTTAATTCAATATTTTTATGATTAAGAGTAAATGTTACAATGAAAATTTGATTTTAGGTTGGTGCAAAAATTTTGAGCATTTTTTGAAAAAAAATTCTTTCATTCAATATAAATTTATGGCATCAATATTTTATCCAAATATTTTCCTTGACATTCTGTGACCAGGTATTGAACTCACAACTCTTTGAGTCAAGGCACTTTTTGGATTACTTCAACCAACATGTTTATCCACTGGGTCATGTGTCCATGAGGACACAAATAGTTGTGAGTTCAATACCTGGCCACAGATCAGGGAAAAAAAATCTTGGGAGAGTTGAGTTATTAAAGGGAATTAACAGAAACTGAGATATCAAGAAAAGGCATGACATGTGAAATTAGAACACTCTACACCTGTGGACTAAATAAGGGGGTTTGGTTGGAAATATCAACATCTGAAGAAGACTGGAGTGTACAACAACCAAAATGTTGTAAATATGAAAATAAAGATGAGGACAACAGTTCAAATGATGTAAATAGTGTATTGTGTGAAGATTTTAAACAAAACAAATTATGAATTTTATTCTGAATATACATCATTGAAGTGTTCTTTTCCATTTGACAAAAGGCCCTTATGTAGGTACCTCCTAAATATCCTGTTTTTTTGTGGAGGCATCTAAACTTATGCCATCAAACCAATGGCATGAGCATAAGTTGTTGCTTTTAGAGTGATATAAAAAATGTATCATTTGGTGTGTGACCTGGTAGCTGATACAAATCGCCGTTTGAACTTGTAAATTTCTTTGATATATATTTTGTGCTTAAATGAATCATAACTTCAAGTGTTTCAAATGTTTGAGATGTGCATATATTAGGTAGATAAGGATGAGCCAAACTTTTAGTGCATAGTAATAAAATGAATGATTAGAGGGAATGAAAGTCAATGTATTATGGAAATGTTGTCCTCTGCTTACTTCCTACATATATTTTTAGTATTTGCTATGTAATTATGTGTTGTGTATGATACACCTAATTTACATAAGTGGAGTACCGACCATATAAATATGGGTTGGTACCGGAAGATAGAAATGTTGGCCTCTGCTTACATCCTATATATGCTTTTAGTATGCTCACATGTTTTATAGAGATTTTCATATTAAAATGTCTCTGTGTGTGTTTCATTTGTTTTGTTTTCTCTCTGTTAAAAGAATTGCCTGTGTTACTTTTTATAGAATCATAAGCATTTATGAATATTTTTATATACATCTTTGAGAAATTCTACTCATAACAGGGTTAATAAATATTTAATACTTTTGTCATTAAACTTGAAATTCACATAAATAAACAGATAAAAGCCAATATCATCCTGTTTTTGTAAGATCATTGTTCAGCTGAGCATTTTAGTCCCCTCCAAATGCCATATTTGAATGCTTGTATTTGAGTGCAGTGATTTTGTCAATCCATTTTTCCCCAGTCTGTATTTTTTTTCTGTTGCTTATGGTGGTAAATTTGTAGGATGATAGTGGAAAGATTGTTGTCCCTTGTGATATGGTTATACCATTTTAACTTCCCCTTCTTGATTGTGGTTATGATGTCTTTCAACAGACCTGCTTTCCGTGTGATGGCACGCCATCATTTGGTTCAGAAAAAACTAAATTTACTCTAAAAGCAGGTTAAAATTGAACTTGAAAATTTTCCAAAATGCCATGTCCTTATATTGTTAATTTTTTCTTATTTCAAACTTTTTGACAGTATTTGCTTCTTTTGGCAAAGCTGCAAAAATTTTACAACTTGATTGATTTAGAATACAGTACAAAAGGTATACAAGACTGACTGTTCAAGAGAAAGTGCGAAATACACCAAGATCAAAAAAAATTTTTTTTCTGTCTTCTATATTTTAAAATTATGGATTGTTAGTTTTTGATGAAGGCCAGTGAACAAAGCACTATAGATTCTGTATTTGAAATTTGTGAATATTGAAGTAAATGCAAAATTTTTGTTATAATTGTTCCAATCTTACGAAAAAAAAATTTTCATTAATAAATGGCTGGAATAAATAATAATCAAATGATATATTTAAAAAAAAGTAAACTCAATCTCTGGTATGAAATCAAAAAAGATCTTTTTGTGTTATGTCGACAAATTAATTTCTGCCTCTGATGATGACTGATTTATTGAACAATTTCATTAGATAAATCAAAAAATATTTTATCATATTTTTAATATATATTTATTTTTTTTTATATCTATACACAGCTTAGTTTAAATCTTGAGCAAATTAAGAAAGCAAAATTTTTTATATTTACAAATAAATTTGCATTTATGATGGTGACTGGTTTATTGGCTATTGCTAATCATTTGTTTAGTGGTATATCAATTTCTTATGGGTCATTTAATGCTGAAATTTAATTTCCCTGGGAGCATTAGTAATTCATTTTATAAAAATATATAGCTCGTAATTGTTTTTGCAAAAAATATATTGCTTTTTTTTACTTTGAAAATACATTTTATACTTTCATATTGTTTTGACCCCAGTTTGGTGGGTAACTATTTCCACGTAGTTGGGACCCTAACAGGTGGTACTATCCCCAGGTCAGGGTTGACCTGGGAGCAACAACAATTAAAAGGTGGTTTCATGCTCATCAAAACCTGATCAGAGACCTTGCTGTCAGATGTAGTTTATTATCATACACAGGATACCTGGTTTATTGAATAATTATATTAAACTAGCAGGACCTGTGGAATTTCCACAGTCTGACTAATAGAATGTTGAGTAAAGAATAAACTTTTTCTACATAAATGTATGTATAAAAATAACACATTGAAGAAGGAACAATTAAAATCTCTATATAGGCAGCAAATAGTGAAATTGCATATATTTGTACAGGTATATTTACAAATAAATAAAATTTATCTATTAAATCTATCATTATTTAACATACAATACTCATAGGCTGGGAAAATAAACAACACACAAAGATACTTGGGATTGTCCACCATGTGTGCAAAGATTGTGAATGCCAATCAGTCTGTGGTACTCCCCGTCCAAACATAGAATGATGCCAGTTTCCACTGATATGAATACAGAAAAAAATAGACATATAAATGTACAAAAATATATAATACATGTCACATAAATAGTTTTCTCTTTTGAAAGATATTCATTTAATATATATATGTCTGTGTGTATGTATATATATATATATAAAGCAAAGGCACATACGTAATGCAATCAAGGGTCTCCAGGATTTCTGAAAACACACCACTCCTTCAAGTCAGTACCTCTCGGCAGATAATGTTCTTAGTAACAGTTCACCCTCTTCTCCTTCCTTGTCTCTCTCCATCATCTGAGAATTTGTGAGCTCTAGAGTATACCATATACAATTTCCCATGACTGAACACTGGCTGAGATAAGAACAAATCCACCTTCTCAAATGTCTGCCCCTGTTACTTGTTAATAGTCATAGCATATGGCAAATAAACAGGAAACTGGTTTTTCTCCAAGGTGAGTGGCAAGTGAGTTGCTTGAAGCCACTTTATTCTGGGGATGAGGACAAGTCTGCCAATTAGTGAGCCACTAATCAAAGAAGCCTCAATTGAGTGTTGCTTCATGGCCACCACTTCCAGTCTTGTATAATTCAGAGTCCATTCTGGATAGAAATGTTATGAAGAAGCATTACTATTGAGCCAAGTTTTAAACAATTTATGAGGAGGCATTACTGATGGTGTTAAAGAACTTAGAAATTCAAGTAGGTATTGCTCAGCCTCAGCAGGATCATCTGTCAAAACTTTATTTATACTATAATAGGTGTAGCAGTCATTTGGAAGTTGTCTCAAAACTTCTTTATTGATCAGGAGGCAGTCTGAGTTCTTTGGTGAAAGAATTACTCTGCTCCTTTTCACTTCTTCAGATGTATTGATGATGATATAATCCACTAGAGACCTGTCAATGCATGAAATTTGAGGCAGTTTTATCACATCAACAGCATGATTAGAGTCTTGTCAAGCTGCTGATGTTCCAATGCTAAGATGCAGGAGCCATGCTACAAATTCCCTTTGATCTGCTGTTGTTCTGATGGTTTCCATAGAGGAGAATTTTTAATATAGATTTCAATGATTGCCTCATGACTTCCTCTTGGCAATATGGGTAGGACTTGCCCAAAGTCTCCTTGAAAGAGCACAACTTTACCACTAAAAACAGCAGCAATGCCAAGTAGAAGATAAATTTATGGTGAAATCACAAAAGGGCCTTGAAGTGTCAGTGCAATTCCTCGGCATTTAGCACCCAACTATCATGATGGTGTGCATAACTTGTAAAGGTTTCTCTTCCAAATTGTGTACCAACTTTGTTTGTTAATATAACTATGTACCCTTTAATTTTAATTCAATATCAACTTTACCACCAAAAACAATGCCAATGATATCTCACAAAACTTTATCAACAGCATGAAGAACAAATGAAGGGATCATAGAAGCCTCATTCAAGATGATCAAATCTAGGTTTTGTAAATAAATTGCATGGTCTGAACTGGCTGGTACATTGGCCTCCGTGAGTGGGACAGGCAATTTGAACAAAGTATGGATAGTCTTTCCACCTGACAGTAGTGTAGAGACAATGCCTGTCCACTGCACACATTGCAGTTGTTCCTTTGCAGATATGTAATTATGGTATTAAACATATAAGTTTTACCACAACCTCCGAGTGCATCTACATAGAGTTTTTGGGCACCTCACATCTCCTCATCTTATCTGTAGATTCAAGCACAGCATTAGCAATCAATCTCTGCTCATCAGTAAGTTTTGTAATGCTTGGATGACAGGTCTTTATGATGGTCAATCTGCGGTACTTCAGTAGGTTCAGGCAGCCCAATTGCAAAACAATGCCATTCTCTATCAGAATTGCATCAGTTGAGTGCAGTGCCATGTTTTTTGCATGGTCTGCATTAAAACCTTGATGAAAGAAATCTTCATAGGGTAGCAAACAT